CCGGTGTCGCGCAGTGCGCTGTCAATGCTCAGACAGGCGAGCGCCTGCCCCGCGGCAGCCTGGCGAGCTGCCATGCACCCGCCACCCGCCCCGCCACACCGCGTCCCTTTCCCTTCAGGATGGGGACTTAACATACCCGCCGCCGGCCACCACCCGCGCACGGGCGACACTCGGCAAAAGCGCACACGAGCACATCCGTAATTAAAGACGGTTTTAATTGAGCAGTCGTGGGAAATGCCGACAGTTCGCTCATTATGAGATATACCACTTCACCTGCGCGTCAACATACCACACGAATTATTTGCGTACTGAAAAATCTTTAAGTAATGCCTAGCACGTTGGCGGTATGGTCGACTCGTTCTCTTTGCTGAGAAGCACAGCCTCTCCATTTGCCTTTATCCGCGTGTCCTTTTTTTCCGCTCCTCCTTCCTCGGGCGCAGTTTGCATTAGTGGGGTCCTATGTCAATACGCCGCCGCCGAGAGTCTCGTCTCTCACGTTACTCCGTTTGTGACGGTGGTTGTTCAATTAAATGCAGCCCGTTTTATTCCATCGTTTCAAAAGCTGCAGCCGACAGAAAAGAGAGAAGGAGGAGAGGAGTGGATTATGTGCGCGGTGTCACTGAGATGAAAGCGACGGTTTTTGCGGTAGGCGGGAAGCACAGGGTACTACATGGGGTGGCAGAGCGAGAGAATAGAGGGAGGGGAGCGCCGAGCCAGCCAGGCCAGCAGCGGTGGGACCGCGGCGGAACAGCGCCTTCCGTTCTCCTCTTCTCCTCTTGCATTAGTGAGAGCGGTACTGGCGGCACCGAGCGGCACCGGCGGTGGCAGCCAGGAAGGTCTTTTTACTACCCCCCCAAGTCTTTTCCCAGGTTCGCGACCACTCTCGGGGGGAAAGGCGCGCGCGGATAGGGAGGGCGGCGTGCACGGTGGTCCCATTCTCCTTCTCCCTCTCCCTCACCGGCATGGATACGTCTCTGTGTCATTGTCACCACTCTCCCTCTGCGCCAGCCTGCCTGCCTGCCACCACCCCCCACCCCCTCTCTTTTCTTCTCCCTCCTGACAGGTGAACGTCGGTTTATTTACGTCCGTTCCCAGCGGGACCGCGTGGCACGGCCGCGGGGACACAGGGCACCCCGCCCCACTCCCCTCTGCCTGGCGCCGCCCCGCGCCACCCCGCCCCGCCCCGCCGCACACAGCTCCTCCTCAAGGGCCGCGTGAAGGGTCCCCCGCTCCACCGCTGAAGCCACTCGTGTCCCCTCTGATGCTGCGCGCACGCCAAGGGCTGTAACGCGCTTTCGCTGCCAACCGCGCGCGACAC